ATGTAAGAGAAAATAATATAACTAAATTCTTGCTATATTGCTCATATCAGAGAGCTATAAAAGAAGATGAAAAAGTACTGGAAGATAAAGGGAATTAAATATTTTATAATTTTGGAATAAGGAAGTATAACACAAAACCTAGGAGTCACAAAGCAAATTATTGCTAAATTTGACTACTTAAAAATACAATTTTGTTTTTAAGAACATAGTCAGAAGGCAAACAACAAATTGGAAATAATAATTTGGAACATATCTGACAAAAGGATTATTTTCATAATTCACAAAGAACTGTTATAAATTACTAAGGAAAGTATGGCCAATGTAATAAAAATGGGCACATGATATGAAAAGACCGTTCAGAGAAAAGGAAGTACAGGGGCTAGTAAACATGAAAAGATGCTTAATTTTATTTAAAATTAAATAACTGCCTATTAAAATAAGTTGATAAAGCTTACCATGGATAGATAGCTTTTGGGAAAGAGGTGGTAGGACTCTTTGGAAAGCAATTTGGTAACAATGATATTTTCAGTTGTACATACCTTTTACCCATCAAATCTATGTCTAGTTTATTGTATAGGTATAATTGAATGTACATGCAAAGATATATATGTAAAGATGTGTTTTGTGGTATTGTCAGTAATGTGTGTGTGTGTGTTTGTAATTCTCACCTGAGGATATTTTTCCATTTATCTTCAGATAGAGTGGGAGGTAGAGAAGGAGGAAGAGAAAGAGAGAGAGAGAGAGAGAGAGAGAGAGAGAGAGAGAGAGAGAGAGAGAAACATCGATGTGAGAGAGACACATCAACTGGTTGCCTCCCACACGACGAACCGCAACCAAGGTACGTGCCCTTGGCCGGAATTGAACCCACGACTCTTTGGTCCATGGGCAAACTCTCTAACCGCTGGGCCAAACTGGCCAGGGCTATTGTCGGTAATATAAAAAATGCAATTAACCTATAAATTTTAGCAGTAAGGGGCTAGTTACATTAATTAATGGTACATCTAAACAGTGGAGTACTAGGCAACTAAAATAATGTGATGTGAAAAGATGTCAGAGATATGCTGTGAATGGAAAAGTAAGTTACATAGTAGTATGTATGCTATGATCCTATTTGATTAAAAAATTTGTACATAAAGTGCATAAATTTATATAATATATACATTTTTAAATTCTAAAACATTTAAAATTATATCTGTTAAAGTTTCTATAATTATAAAACAAACTGTGACTAAAACTTACCAGTGAGGATTGAGTTATCTCCTATTTGTTTAATTAAGAAGTTTTATTTTGGGGAGAGAGGGGGAGAAAAGGGAGAGGGAGAGGAAGAAAAATGGGGAGAGTAGGAGAAAGGGGGAGGGAGGGAGGGAGAGGGAGAGGGAGAGAGAGAGAGAGAGAGAGAGAGAGACATCAATTGGTTGCCTTCCACGCATGCCTTGAGAGGGTTGAACCTGTAACCTGGGTATGTGCCCTGATTGAGAATCCAACCTGCCACCTTTTGGTGTAGGGGATGATTCTCCAATCAACTGAGCTGGCACGGCCTGTTTCATTTTTTTTTTACCGTGAGCATAATATAGATAAACTAAAATAATATAATAGAATATTTGATAATTAAAACACTTAACCTTAAAAAAAAACTTTATATTGCAATATACTTATATATAATTGCTGCTTTATAAATAATTTTTTATAAACTTTGATTGGCGGCCATTAGTAATAATATCCATTTTGACTTTGACTTTAAAAAATGTTTTTATTGATTACTTTTAGAGAGGGAGGAAGGGACAGAGACAGACACATTGATGTGAGAGAGATACATGGATTGGCTGCCTCCTGCACACCCCCTCTGGGGACTGAGCCTGCAACCCGGGCACATGCCCTGACCAGGAATTGAACCAGGACCTCTCAGTTCATGGGGTGACACTCAATACACTGAGCCACTAGCTGGGCAAGTTTGACTTTTTTAAATAACTAAAATTTGGTGTTCCATTTCTGAGGATATTCACTTTATACAGGGCTGTGACTCTGGGCTGAGATACTAGCTAGAAATCTCCACCTGGGTCTCTTTGTTCAATTGTTCCTCCTTGTGTTTCCTAACTCTAACAAAATGCATGTATATCCTCTGTAGAAGAGTTTGTTTGTTTGCTTGTTAATTGGCTTGTTTATTTACTGTGTTTCAAAATCTAATTAAATTTAAAAAACTAGGAAATTGGTACACATGGAACAAGATTTCAATGATACATAGGGTTATACAGTAAAAAATGAAATCTCTTTTCATAGCCTTTGGCCTTCCAGATTGTCTTTCTAGGGGCAATCATAGTTACTACTTTCTCTGTTTTTGTGTAGAGATTCTGTCTACATTTACAAATGCAGGCACTTGTGACACACTTTACATAAATGGTAGAATATTAAACATCCAGTTCTCCCTCTGTTTTCCCTCCTGATATTAACTTGTTTGACATTACAACATAAAAAGGCATGTTACTAATAGTATGCTCAAGCAGAAAACTTCAAGTCTGGTTTTGTTTTGTTTTGGTTTTGTTTTTTCTTTCTTTTTGCATCCCAACTCAAGAGGGCTGTCAGTTAGACCAAGGATAATTTATTTTATAGTAGAATACACCTTTTCCATCCCCCCTTTTGTTTTAACTCAACAATATTGCTTAGAGCACTTTCCATATTAGTACATGAAGAAAAGCTTCCTCCTATTTAAAATTTGTGTGGATTAATCCTAATTGATTAAATAGTCTTTTGTTGATAGTACACACTATAGTTTGTTTAACTATTTAACTCTTATTTTAGATACTTGGTATTGTCTAAGTGCTGGGGATACACTGATGAGGACAGAAAAAGAGATTATGTGTACTCCCCTCATGGAGCTTAAATTCTATGAGGTAGACACTAATATAAGACCAGCTCAAATAAATGTAGAATCATATTTGTGAGAAGGTTAACACAGATCTCATAGAGGGAATTGATAGAGTCAGGGTGGTGAAGGATAGCTTTTCTGAAGTGATATTTGAACTGACATCTATAGAAAGAGTTATTAGTTTTACATATTTTAATAATGTAATTTTGTCCTGTAATATCTATTCTACCATAACTTTTGTATCTATAAGCACTCTTTCACCAGTGCATCTATTTCACCAGCTTTTAAGGCTGCCTAACTTTTTCACGTATTAAAAAAACAACAGAAAACCTCTTCTCCCACTCAGTCTCCTTTCCAACTGCTACTGCCCTGTTACTCTGCTTCCCTTTTACCAAGAAGTGTCTAAACTTCCTGTTTGCATGACTTGTCTCTTACTCAATTAGGACAGAAAAATTCAGACGTACTCCTCTTCAGCCTGTTCCAGTCTGGTTATAGCCAGTTTCTTCAAGGTCACCATTGATTTCCATTCACAGTGAACACTTTTTAGTGTCCATTTTGCTCTAATATTCTGTGACATTGCATATAATTGACAACTAGGTCCTAGAAATGTTCTCTTATCTTGGATTTCATGACACTCTATGCTTTTTTTCCCTTTTAAAAATTCTTTGCTGGCTTTTTCTTTCCTAACTATTAAGTTCTGTTTCTTAAAGCTTTGTCTCAGCCTCTTTTCTCTTCCCTTCAAACACTCTCAAGACAGGCTTCAGGTGATGTGCATAGATGATTGCCAAACCTGTGCCTGATCTTTTTACTGCACTATTATGTCCAGATGCCTGCCATATTTTTCTACTTCACTTGTTATTTGTTAGTTCAAAAATATTTATTTAGGGCCTTTTATTTAGGCACTGTGCTGGTACTGGGAGTGTCCTAAAGGTACCTCCAATGTAATAGATCAAAATAGAATTCATGACTTGTACTTACTGCCAAAAATAAGCAAGCAAGTAAACAAACAAACAAACAAACAAAAACAGTCAAAATAAGACCTTTTCCATCTTCACTGTTATCACTCATCTACTGAAATTGGCCCAGTTCTCTTAGGCTAAAACCTTGGGCTCTGTCTTGACTCTTCCTTTCATTGGAGCACTTTCACAGCCTTAGCCAATCCAATCCAATCCAATCCAATCCAATCCAATCCAATCCAATCCAATCCAATCCAGTCCAGTCCAGTCCAATCCAGTCCAGTCCAATCCAGTCCAATCCAGTCCAATGCAATCCAGTCCAGTCCAGTCCAGTCCAGTGCAGTCCAGTCCACATCTTTTTTTTTTTTTTTTTTAATCCTCATCCGAGGACATTTTTCCATTTTTTGTACAGACAGAGTGGGAGGGAGAGAGAGGAAGAGAGAGAGAGAGAGAAACATCGACGTGAAAGGGACACATCGAGTGGCTGCCACCCGCACGGCCAGGGCCGGGACAAACTGCAACCGAGGTATATGCCCTTAGCGGGAACCGAACCCGGGTCTCTCTGGACCGCAGGCCGACGCTCTAACCGCTGAGCCAAACCAGCCAGGGCAGTCCACATCTTCTAACCCAATACAATGTTACCAAGGTCTGGCCATTCTACCTTCTAAGTATTTTTCTAGTGTATAAGCCCCTGTTCACTGCTAAGACCCTAGCCTAAGCTACCATCACCTCTTAAGTATTAGACTGCAACAGTTCCTTCTACTTGGTCTTACTGCAATTCGCTCTTCACCATCATCTTGCAGTTTACCATATGACTGCCAGCACGATCTTTTAAAGTGTTGTTTAATTTCTCTGTGTCTCAGTTTTCTTACCTGTAAAATTGGTATAATAACAGCCCTTCCCTCATGAGGTTGTAGTAAGAAGAATTACTATGTGTAAAATACTTAGAATAGTGCCAGGCACTAAGGCCTCAGTAAATTGTTATCGAGACCTTATACAGTGTTACTTACATTAAGCCAAATAAAAGGTATGATTAAGACAGAAAGAGGTTTATGAATAATAGACTTGAATGGGGTAATTGTTAGCTTGCTTATTCTTAATTGTGCCACGTGTGTTCACACAAAATATCTGTAGCTCTTATGCATGACCTTATTATGTGTAATTTTTTTCTTAATTAAAAGGCTAAGAAGCACCAGGCCTTTCTAGTAGAGACATGTGAAAATAACGTGAAAGAGTTGGAATCGATCTTGGACAGCTTTACTGTGTCGGGCCAGTGGACATCAGGTTAGTTGAAGGTATAAAATGACAGATGCATCTGTCAGTGTTCCAAAGTCACTACATTTTGGGAATTCTGCAGATGCCTCTTATAGTCCCTCATCTCGACATGTTTTGATTTGATGACATGATAAGAACAGTCCTCACAGCAGTCAGTTGGCCTAGCTGGCCGAGAAAGGGTGACGGAATGTGTACCTGCTGTTGTCCTCCCAGAACTTGATTTACAAGTGTTGGGGTCTGTATGATTGGACAGACAAGGGCTCACTTGCTGTGTTCTGAATCCAACTGAGAGAAAAGCCCTTACAGTATACCTGCAAGGGAAGCAGATGTTTCGATCAAACTGAGCCAAATTCTGAGGCAACCTTCAGCAACTTAAAGGTCATGCATTCAAAAGGTTTTGTAGGACACAGGCTTGTAACACAGTGCATTCTCTACGTGTTGCTTTCTAAGCTCATTTTCTCCTTCATTTCCTATTTACATATATATTCTCTCTAGATAAAAATGCTTAGGTAAAATGGTTTGGTTTTACTATTAGCCCACTTAATATGATGAAGAACCATAAAAATTGCATGCTAGGTAGTTATAATTTGGGAACTAGCTGAAGCATTAGTTGGCTAATGAATGCTGTCCATGATTTCTACTTCCTTAATTTTTTTGTGCTTATGCCATCATATGTGCTGTAGTAGCTTTGACTTAAATACTTTTAGTTTTCTACTTCAATTTTCTTTTGCCATACTGTCAGCCTTGAATTATTTAGTTGTTTTCTGACTCAGGTGTATTCCTTTTTTATAAAAATATGTTTCTATTGGTTTCAAAGAGAGGAAGGGAGAGGGAGAGAGACACAAACATTGATGAGAGAGAAGTATCAATTGGCTGCCTCCTGCATGCCTCCTACTGGGGATTGAGCCTGAAACCCGGCTATGTGCCCTGACCTGGAATCTAACCAGTGACCTCCTGGTACATGGGACAACGCTCAACCAACTGAGCCACACTGGCTGGGCCTCAATTATATTCCTTAAAAAGCACATATGATTAAATTTCTTACACTTTAAAATTGAGCTCCAGGACTGTTTTTTAAAAGCTACCAAACAGATATTTGACAAATGAGTTCTTTGGGAATCTCTCAAGCTCAGGCAACTTTATTGCTTAAAAAGAGCAGAAGGATATGATCAAGGTCCATTTTTACCTGACGGACTGCAGACTTCTAATGATGAAGTATTAGAAATGTAGTGCATTTTGCTGTGATCTATTTTTGAGGTTTGCTTTTATCCTTCATATTTTTTAGTAATAATTTAATGAAATTAATGTGTAACTTTCTTTGTTTTTATTTAAACTTTTTCCAAAAATGCATTAGTGTTTCTTGGTTTGTTACTGTGGGAAAAAATCAAGGTATATAAAAGTGACATAAAAAATGTCCAGTTTTCAAATATACTTGCTAAAGCTTTGGAGGATAAAATGTACTTTTGCATTGGTACTGTTTTATTATTGAGATGTATCATTGTTTAATGGTGTTAGGATCTTTAAAAATATTTAAATTATTGCAATAGCATATCCTGTGCCTCAACATTATTTTAACTATTTCTTCAGAGTTGAATTAGAAAAGCTAAGAATAATGAAGTCATGTCTTTTTTGAGTTTTAAAATGAAATCATTGATAACAAAACAACTCACAAGCTATTACTAAGCCTATAGAAAAATAATTGTTTCCTATTAAAGTTTTTCTTTTTATTCTTTTAGTAATCATCCTCTTTTAATTTCTTAGTTTCGCATATATGCACACTGTATATATTACAGAGAAAGCATTTCTGGAAAAAGGACTGTGTTGAATTCATGATTTTTGTACCATTATGGAGTGTTCTTTGTTTCCATATTGAGCAGGTTATTCATTCTTCTACCTGACGAGAACCATTCTCCTATGGTCTCTGTTTTGCCTTGTAGAGGCTGACTTCTATAAGCTGCATGATTGGCGCTCCTCTGCCCTCCATCTTCTAGGTGGATTTGGACAGTGAGTGTACCAACAGAGTAAAAGGAAGAAAGGAAAGAAAAAGAAAGTCAGGATATTTATTTCCTCTGGTCCAGTGCATTTCTGGCAGTGGCTTCATTTTTCAGCAGCCCCACCTCCTGTCAAGCAGGTCCTTTTCCACAGCTGTGGATCATATTGGACTATGGTGACAACGTTCTCTGCATGTGACCCTTTAGACTTAGGCATGGTGTTGAGTTTCTTCTCTTGTTAGTTCTTGGTGCCTCATTATATTTTGTTAATTCTCTTAACCTGTCTACATTTCTGTAAATAGTCTCTTCAGTAAATTTTCTTCCGCTGAACTCTTATGAGTGTACCATCTTGTTATCTGCTGACACCCTAGTTCACATAGCTGCTTGGGACCTGATTTCATTCTTGCTCTTGACTTCCATGAAGTGGCCCTCTTTATATAAGTGTAAGGGACTCCCTTTCTGATTATACTAGCTTAGGTTGGGTTTTCGTTACTTCACCAAGAGGGATGTATATAATAAACTTTATCGCTTAATATTTTATGGAAGAATCTGAACAATTAAGATGCCTACTGCATCAAGCCTGCCTTCAGTTCACAAAGATGACCAAGTATTTTTGTGCCTTCCAAATGAAGTAATTTAAAAACTTATCTTAGGCCAATTTAAGGATGTGTGTATGTGTGTGTGTGCATATGTGCATGTGTGTATGATATATACAAACATGTACATATCTCACAGTATAGATACATCTTTGAGAAAAGATCTATTTCAAATAGGGACATATTCTTACTATGTAATGTAGCATAGCCTTAGAATTTGCTGCAAAATTAATTTAGTTATATTGGGAAGGGTTTTCCAGAGAGATCCTCTGTTTTGCATTTATGGCAACAGTGCTTTATTCCCTTTTATTACCTCTTCATACTTTTCATTTCAATATATACTCTGTTCCTTCTCCCAATCCCTCCCATTTCAGGAAAAGTAATCTGTGGTAGAAGTTTAGAGGAATGATGTCACAAAATTCTTTCTTTCTTTCATTTTTCTTGGCTTGCTTTTTAAAATGGAATGAATGAAAATTGTTTTCCTGAATGACTTTTAGCCCAGAGTTGCTGGTAGTTGCCAGGTGTTCTGTTCCCTGTCTTCTTCAGGTTTGGTGATGCTCTATGTTAAGAAATCTTTGTGAAGCAAAAGTAACCAAAAAGTATCTTCATGTAGCAGATAAGGCAAAGTTTCAGTTAGTTCAAGACATTAAAGACTTTATGTAGAGGTCCTAACTTGATCTCTTCACCACTAATCAGTGTGGTGGTTTACACCTTGTTTCCTAAATGCTTTTGGCACCTCCTCCCCTTCTCTGCTTCTACCTTACTTCCCTGAAATGTGTTTTCTCTATAGCCACCAGCATGATCGTTTGAAATCCTAAGTTAGAGCTTGTTCCTCTGCTCTAAACCTTGCTGGGCTCTGCATTTCACTAAGAGTAGAAGCCAAAGTGCTGGCAATGGGATGCAAGACCCTACAAGGTCTGCTTCTATTCCCTATCATCCCTTTGACCTGTTATTCTTTGTCTTCCTTCCACTGTTTGGGCCATTCTGGCTGAACATCCAGGTGCTCTTGCCTTGGGGGCCTTTGTGTTACCTGGAATGTTCTTTTTTTTTTAAATGAAATTTTTATTTATTTTTTTGTTACAGATATTTTACCTTTTTACCCCATTGGCACCCCCCACCCCACCTCCGCCCCGTCCCCGGCTTAGTTGTCCATGTCCATTGGTCATGCATACATGCATATAAGTTCTGTGGTTTATCTCTCCTGGCATAGCTCTCTTTGTCATCTGCCCTAAATTGATTCTCAAATCTCACCTTTTCCAGAAATCTTAACCACTATCCATTCTCATGTTACTTGCCTCACTACCTCCATCCCTTTTCAGCTCTACTCCCCACCCCCTCCCCATAGCACTTATTGTGATCTAACATTATTTGGTGCATTTATTATTATTGTTGTTGTTATTTATTTATTTATTTATTTATTTATTTTCATCCTCACCCGAGATTCTTCCATTTTTTGTTCAGATAGAGTGGGAGGGAGAGAGAGGAAGAGAGAGAGAGAGAGAAAAACATCGACGTGAAAGGGACACATCGAGTGGCTGCCACCCGCATGACCAACCAGGGCCGGGGACAAACTGCAACTGAGGAACATGCCCTTAGTGGGAACTGAACCCGGGTCTCTCTGGACCACAGGCCGATGCTCTAACCGCTGAGCCAAACCGGCCAGGGTGGTGCATTTATTATTATATCTGTTTTGTCAGGGTTCTTCAGAGAAACAAATGAAATAGGATATATATTTGTATAGAAGGAAATATATATCTTATTATATGTGTGTGTGTGTGTGTGTGTGTGTGTGTGTATATATATACATATATATATATATGATTTATTATAGGAATAGCTCAGTTATAGAGGCTCAGCAATCCCATGATCTGTCTTTTGCAAGTTGAAGAACTAGGAAAGCTGGTAGTGTAGTTCAGCCTGAGTCCAAAGTCTTGAGTACCTGGGGCTGCTGGTGTAAGTCCTAGAATCTGAATGCTCAAGTACCAGAAGCTCTGATGTCCAAGGGTAGAAGAAGATGGAAGTCTTATCTCAAGAAGAAAGAGAATTTGCTCTTCTTCCATGTTTTTGTTCTTTTGGGGGTGGGGGTTGGAGGAGCAATGGATTAGATAATGCCCGCCCACATGAGTGAGGGCAAATTTTTACTCAGTCTACTTATTTAAATGCTAATCTCTTCCAAAATACCCTTACAGACAAAACTAAAAATAATGTCTTTCCAGCTATATTTGTATCCCTTAGCCCAGACAAGTTGATGTATAAAATTAACCATCATAGGTTAATTACTAGGGCAAGGATCTTTGTCTCTTTTATTTACTAACGTATTTTAGGCAGCTAGAACAATGCTTGATGCAAAGCAGCACCCAATAAATATTTGTTGAATATGAATGAATAAAAGCATGAATGAATTAATATCAGGTTTAAGGTC